AGTACATCATATTTGAATATTTTATACTATGATCTTTGGATTTCATGGCTTTTTTTTCATAAATTATTGAATATATCTATTTGAATTGTAGGTATGAAAAACTTTTGTTATTTTTCCTTATTAATCTACTTTATTGTCTTTAGCAAACATCATATTACTGTCTCTGTTACATGAAAAACCTTTACAAATGGTAGAATATTATTGTTGATATATACAAAAAGGGTTCAACTTAGGATATCCATTAAGTTCAAAACATTACTATATATGTTTGTTGATTCAAGAATTTTTATCTTAGTTCATCAAACTAAATCAGAATGAAAAATTAAAACAACATTTCATGATTTTGGAAACAAAAATTTTGATAATTTGTCTGAGTTTTTATTTGTGTTTGTATGAGTTTATTATAAATTAAAATAGATGAATATAAAATTAGTTACATAATTAAATTGTTTATTTCTACAAATATATGTTTTGAAAAAATGTGCTACTTATTAATAAACCATTACTTAAAATATTTCAGTCCTTACGTTTTGGTTCGGATATCTTACTTTCTTCTTGTATAGTCTTCTATCGTATGCAGCGTCTGCTTCCTAGGTTCTTGTCTAAACTTTTACTTCCTATCCTGCGAACAGAATCCAGGTGGAAGTTGAATATGGGGCAGGATAACGAGATTTTGGCTCAATTGTATTTCAAAGTCCAAATGACTCAAAGTTCAACATGAAGCTGCATAAGAATGACACGGATACACTGAAGAAGTCATTTGCTGGAAAATCTACAGTTAGTATTTCTTCAAATTGAGAGGTTTTCCAAGCCACTACTTTCTGCAGACGGTTAGTTTTGTAACCAGAGTCCTTAAAGCTGCATTGGCATGTACACAAAGAAAGTGATGCTGAAGAAACAGAGTGGATGCTATCCCAGCAAACCACTTTAGCCGTATTGATTTTAGAAGTCAACATTATTTTCTTCAAAGGTGTGAACTCGGTTCTTTCTTTCTCGTCTTGCTTTTCTGCATGAGGATTGAAGGTTATGTACATAAGAGTTCTCGTGCCAGAAAACAGCGTCACGCAACACTGCACCATACTAGGACAGCTAGCTATGCCACGGGTCCCTCGATATGAGACTACACAAATATTGACCATCTTATTTATCCCAATGAGCAGCCTCCATACAGAGAAGAACTACCTCAGACTGGATACGACATGCTGCTTATATACTATACGACATGTAAAAGATATGGAGCTTCCTTTTCGACAGCCTAATGAGAAAACAGTATCACAGACATAACGGGAGTCATGTTTTCTCTCAGACATAGTCTGCTAAACATATCGCAGACATATCTGGTATCTGGTGTGTTAAGTGTCACGCGGTGATGCACAGCGTGACACTTAACAGACCAGATACCAGAACAAACAGACCTGTGTACAACGAATGGAATGCACTGCAATGTAGAGGTGCCTGCTTTTGTTTTCGAAACATTCCTCTAGACCTCTTTAAGAGACGACTAACTTGACATTATTGAGATAATTTCATTGAACCATGTAAATATTGTACATGGATATCTCAGAGAGTAACATAGACGACATCTAATAAAGTACTTAAATTAAACCGCCTCGAGAGTCAGACTTATAAAAAATTTATCAAGACTGAACCTGTTCTGGGCTCGAATTAGACACTTAGTGAATCTTTTCAATCACCCTGTCGATGGAAGGTATTTAGTAAGAAGCAACCATGATAGTCCTCATGTTTGAACGGCTGAGTTTGACCGAGGCCAAGTTGAGCATGAGTATCAATATGGCAGACACTGTCGGCAAAAATTCAGTTTGAAAAATGAAGGAAGCAAGCAGCAAAATTTCTCCAATCATTTCGACTGCTAACCTTAAACTGTTCAAGATTGCATACACAGGCTGCATGATCATACTCAGCTCCATGTTCTCAGGCAGTACGAGCAAGTCAAATATGGCAGAAGCTTCCTCTGTTCCTACGAGTTCCTCGATGATGTTCATCGTGTGACTCAGTCTCAACCGAAAAGCTATGTCCTCATGTAGAGTGGTACAACTGCATTCTGGGAAATGGTGAATACTGTAGGGAGAAAAATATGGTAGCGGCATCTGCACAAGCAGCGAATGATGGGATTTCCATCTTGTCCTTTTCCAGTCGAGCTTCTTTGGGGAGACTGCAACAATCGGGACTCAAAGTGGTTCCTTCTTGGTATGACATGTTGCTTGAGGACCTACTTGCTGCTACCTAGCTGACTCTCTCTATCTATATATCTGTTCATCAGCTTGTAAAGCCAGTCAGAGGAGGTCAGAAGGGGTCATTTAATGATTGCGTTGTAGTGATCGTCACACAGATCTATCTGTCAGTGCTATCATGACCTTTGGCCACATAAACAGCCTCGTTAAGTTTTACCTCCAGCCATTCACTGGGATTCCACCCCCAGCAGAGGTTGCCAAATATGGTCTGAAGCAATGAATGCACAGCACTTCTGAGGCTGACAGAATGTGCACCGTGGTACTCTTAGAACTTCTTTCGGAACTGTACGATGATGTCAGACAGCGGAAAACAAACATGGACACTGAGCGCCGATTCAATTCGGTCAGTTTAATCTCCTGCAGGAGGATTTGTTTGAAACGTACTTATTAGCTTGATAAGTTTGACTCACCAGCACGAGCTATTCAGCACTTTCAATCTGATGGCAACTACCTGGTTTGCTATGATAAGCGTGATGTGGCTGTGTTTGCATGGACGTCGACATGGAAGTTTGATGGCTTCGGTTCGATAATCTCCGCCTTAGAAATCATCCAACGTAGAAGATTAACCTTTTGATCATTACTTGTGTTAAGAAGGCCAGACTGCCTGTCATGACCTACTCATTCATCCTTACCCTGTGAAACAATCGCAGCAAGTGCGAAATGAGTATTGATCGTTATACTCAATGTTGAGAAGCACTCATAAATTGATGTACGATAGACGGCTATAAGTACTCTCCGAGAGGAATGGCACCAAGGCTAATAAAAGAGAATGCTCGTGACGAATGAGAGGCAGTCTTCATTGGTTATCCCGGCCATATTTAATTGAAAGCCACGAGGCCTCCGGTTCAGTGGGCATCATATTCCTATAATCTGCATTCATGATAAACAAGGAGTCTTAGCATCTAAATTTAAACTCGTCTTAGTCGCCTGAAGGTGGCGGTGCTCGACATTCGAGCCCCAAGAGAAAATGGACAAAACCACCTTTGCAAAAGCAAATTCTCAGATACAGTGTCCTTCACAGCCATGGTTCAGAAACAGGTCGCTTGGACGACAAAATCAGAGCGTAATAAATGGTGCAGACACCAGCCCACCGACCGAATGACATGTCCATGCCCGTAAATGACTGATGTGCACTCCCTTATCTATCGCTAGTGAGATTTTCTAACAGCTAGCCGAGAGTTTTCTAAGCAGACTGAAGGTTCTGGTGATCATATCACTGAAATACTGTAGTGTCTCCTACGACGAGGTACTGCGCTAGCTAAGCTCGTGGCTCCATGAAGAGGACTCTCGGAAGGTGCATTCCTTTCTGGGCCCGTAATGTCATCTGCATTTTGATCAGAAGTACATCTTGACAAATGCTGATGTGTGACTGGATTTTGTAGCTTCGAGATCATATCTCGATTCATTTTTTCGCAAACGTAATAACATGAAGTAAGGAGATCTCGGTGCCATGCAATTCAGAGCATCACACGGACAGAAGTTCATCAGATCAGGACGTTACTATTGTGCACTTGATGGAGTGTTAGAATAGACGTCAACCCTGAAGCTAAATACCTTCTGCCAAACTCAGAAAGGCAAACTCTCAGATGTCTCAGTGTATGAAACACCATCTCGAGAGTCCAAGCAACACACAAACTTCCATTCTTGAATAGTGATTGAACTATCGTTCAATTGCATTCGAGATGCTTACATTCACCTTACAATCGTCAATCCTACCCAGGATGTGACAAAGTGAGGATAGATATCGAGGAGAGTTAATTGCTTTGTTAATATGTACGTGAAGTCACAACTGCAGGAGCATATCACGAACGATTATAGGATCTTGATATCCAAGAGCATATCACGAACGTGAATGAGGTCTTATCTGATCAGTGAGTCTGATTTCAGGCATCACATCTGGCCCTTCCTACCTGAATGATATATGGCCCTGCCTCAGGGCAAGTGAAGAAACACGTCCTAACCAAGGGTGCAGAAGACGCCATCTTCCATCAGAAAGAGGGCGATGTGCTCAAGTCAACAGTGTGGAACTTCTGGCTCACGGAAATGAACTGAGCCTTGACGACTGCACTGAGGGGGAAGTGGCAAAATACACGTTACATACAAATTTTTCCAAGGATACAACATTTATGTACATGCTATGCCTTTCTTGGATTAAACGGACAATAAATGCTGGGTAGGCATGGAGACTTACAGGGCCTCGACTTTCGAAAAGTGGAGACTGGAGATGTGGAAGGGTAGAATTATAGGACGCGCCGGAGACATTTAGAGAATACTGGAGAGACGGCTCCATGGTTGGAGATTCCGAGGATCTACTGATTTTACCTTCGATGAACGTCGAAGGCCCTGCGGCTTTGGATAGAAAAGAACAGCAAGCGCAGGTGAAACAGATGTGAGAATATGGAACTCTGCAAAAGCTAGCGCAGTAGGGGGAGGGTGGCGGAAGCACCAGAGACCGCAGCTGGCACCTTGCGTGGTCTCCGCTTGTGTCTAATCTTCAGACAAACCAGCGCCGGCCTTCTTTCTGACCTTTTGGGTAGGAGAGAACAGAGCACCAAGGAGTCTGTCTGCTCATCAGAACTGGGTCCGCAAGTTCCTGGGCCGGGCCCATGCCGGGGCCCGCCACGAGTAGAGTCGGTCAGGAGGACAGTTGGCAAGGCAGACTTTGGGCACTAACCTGCTTCACATGACATCCATCCTCGCGATCTTTTCTTGAGGCCAAATATCTTTGAATTATGGAGGGAACTTTCAATTTGTCCGGAGGGATGCAGGGACTTACCGAGAGGTATCTGCACGGGGGATGGGGATCCATATTTGTCGCGCTCGAGGGAGGGATGGAGCCATGGCGGAATCCGGATGCGGTCCTGTACAGGAGCAGAAGGGTAGCCTCCGCCATCAATCCAGCTTCAATCGCCGAACGCATCGAGTGCACGAGCTGAAGCAAACATCGAGTCTTGTCTGGCCGTCCGTGTGTCTGACCTTCGTCTTCGATCCCGGAAGAAAGTCACTTTCACAAAGGCTCTGCGCTCGCGCTCAGGGCCATAATCTTTCTGATCGTGGCCATTGGGCGAGCGCGATTCTTGCTGGACCACATCCGCGCCGGGTCGACGACCGCGGCTGCCGACTGTACCGCCGAACACGGCACAGCCATCGAGCTCTGAGGAGAACAGACATCCGCCCCCGCCCCAGAAACCTGGCGCCTATGCAAAGCGGGAGCCGAGGGTGGTCATGCTGCTTCTCCTCTTCCAGGCGTCCAGCCCCCAACTTATCCAGAGCGTGGAGGAGGGGGTCATCATTTGCGCGGCCGAGTGTCAGGAGGTTCTTGCCCAGAATGTGGGCGCCATTCTCGGCTCGAACCGAGGCCATGTTTGGGGAGCTGCTAGTCTGGTCCTCCCGCTGCTTTCTGGGCCGCGGGCGTTCGAAGCCGAACTGACTGGGAGGGCGGGCGGGCGGGCGGTAGAGTTCAAAATGGTGAGGTGTCAAGTTTAAACTGAAGCTCTGAACAGCTTGCACGGTGGGCAGGCTGGCTGTTCATATTGTGGAATCTATTTCAGGTTCGAGTATAGCGGGGCGCACATGAAAGTGTCAGACCAGAGGTACATGTGTCCTGACCCGCGGTGCAGTTTGTGTGCGGAGCTAGCCGTTGGATGTTCATATATTCTTGGTTTGTGCGCTGCAAGTCTGTCTTTGACCAGGGTAGATTGCGGGGAGAGAGGCCTTGCGCTCTCCACTTCTGCTCATTCTGACTGAAAAATGACGTGCACATTTACAATCTCCCAGGTTAAATGTCTGCGCTGAAATACAGGTTTGCCCTGGCTCCTCAAGGACATGACAACGTAACTTTGTTAGAATTCGTTGACCGAACGATGTGGCAAGCAGTCAGGGCCGGCAGGGAGAAATGTCCAGAATTGTGAGGCACTTAAAATGTATCCGATTGTTCATCTTTCCAACAGAAGGCAATACTCAGTATTGGGCATAAATGATTCTTGAATGTTAAGACTTCGGTATGATTGTCAGCATGTTTTATATGCCACGTACATTGTAAGGAATACTGCATTGTCTCTTACTGTTGACAAATTTGTACACGGTGATACCTAGTGGTGCAAGTGTGAATATTATCATCTGACTTTCTTGACAGACTTTTACGTATAGAAGTAGAGGGTTTTAGACTTTGAACTAAGAAATCAACAAACGTCATCGTTGATTCTTTTTCCTTCACTTCCATTCGCAGGGGAAGAATAGACGTTTTCTTCCGTCATGAGTATGATTGTTTTCGCCCGCTATATGTATAAACATTGCTGCTGAAATAATAATTATTCAATTGCCAGTGTTAACATCATTTCTTCAATTCGAATTACTGTAATGCCACTGTTTATGAGACGGTTGAAGTATTCATTCAACAATTATATGCGTATGTTTCAAATTTCAGTAGTGGTCTGTGAAGAGTGAAACCTCAGAGTGTGTGCATAGTAATAAACAAAGAATTTTCTCTCGCTTATCGACAGTTCCAGCTGTCCACTATCCGCTACACCTTCTGTCTTACTACATTAACTGGAAGTCCTAGTAGTAAAAGGACCAGACTAGACTCTTCCTCTGCAATTGTGTATTAGAGCGTGATATTTTCCTCAATTTACACTCCGGCAGCGCAAACTTCCAGCATGTCAGCCTTTGCCACAGTGAGGTACTTGGCAACGACATTATATTATATACGTCATTTGTGGCATGTCTCGGTGTGGTCGTCATTTTGACAGTGGCGTATAACAAATTTTTTAATGTCTAACCATGAATTAGCGACAGGTGAAGTCGCCAAGATGTGCTCCACCCGCGCCAGCCACTTCGTAAAAATCTCGTACGCAAGTCTGATGGCTGGGGATCAGAAACGCACGAAACATACCAAATGTGCTCCTCTGTGCGACTTTTTGGCAGTTTGGCAGAATGAGTGCTGAAGACCAATCTTGAAACATAAACTAAAGCTTCTCAGCTTCACTTTGATTTATTGATATGATACTACAATGCATCAAAAGAACAATGAATCTGTACAAGAAACTATACGGGGGCAGACTGGCACATATCGTTCAGTGTCCAGCATCCTAAACTTTCCTCAGTAAACTCAGACTAGCTACCACAGCTGTGAAACTTCAACACGGAATTTAAAATCAAGGAACGCAGAGTGAGTTGTCCCAACATTTGAACAGCTTCTCCTGCGAGCGATCCTGCGCTGCTGCTGCGTGTCCAGATGCAGCTAAACTGACTGTTTATTCCGCGCCCGACCGACCAACCAACCAACCATCTGTCGTGAGACCACTCTTCCAGCTCTGCATTTGTCTTTCCCAGGATGAAAACCAAAAGTGAGAGAAGCCTGAAATAAATCCTGCTGGGACCGCACGCCTCCTCTTCGTACAATAACCACCCACTAAGTATCTGAAGTAAGATGAAACTCAATCAATTCCTCAAAGCCAGAAACGAGAAGACCGTCGCTACAGCTGACGTGAGGATGCATGGCAGCAACAAAGTGCTGTCATTCTCAGGCAAGGGCGCTGGCGCCGGAGCCTGTGCGACCACCTGTGTGGCTGCCACCATAAGGGCGGCGGCGACGAACACCACGCTGTTCCTTGCGACTGCAGTCATCGATGCCATTGCGGAAAATGCTCGTCGATACAGAAACCAAGACACTCCGCTGGCCTGCTCGACAAATGTACGCAGAATGCTCTGCTCTGATCGCGCCTCCTCTGCTCTGCGTCCGCTCGGCCGCTTTCCTGTCCTTTTATCGTTGCAGCAGCAAGTCAATGCTTGACTGCTCAAGATTCAAGACTGGCGATGGAGGGCGCGGGGAGTGTTGAGGCCGCGTAGTTGGTCGTGGAGGGATAACTATGTGAGAGGAGAACGTTATATACCCAGAGCGGCGAGCTGCGGGTGACTGCGATCGAGAGCAGCGCGCTGCCTCGCTTTCTCGCTCGACGAGATCCAGGGTGAGGATGGAATGCACTGGATCGGGGAGATTCTTGGTGCCCCAGCGCGCGCCCAGAGCTCCGGCGTGTCTTTTCTCTCCGGAGTGTGCGCAGGAGACAGTAGAGCATTCGCTGTCCCGTAGGCCTGGCGGGCCCCGCCTAGCACCCCACTGTGCCATGCATTTGGACATCCAGCTGGCCGGGACCAGCGTTCGATTTTTTCGAGCCGCTGCGCAGCTGGACCCCCAGCCTGGTTACCCGATTGCAGCCTAGCGCTCACCCTCCCCTCAGTCCTACCTCGTCCCTCCCTCCGGAGGTTTTTCCATTACCGGGTGAGCTTCTGGACCAACTATGGTAAAGCCCAATTTCGACCCTAATTCTCAAACTAGTCCGAGTCTAATGTAAGATTGGCTGCTTGTCCAGCCAATCTTAATCACCTCGCATCGTTAGCTGCACTGAACATTCGCATTACATGTTAGGATCTTAGATCGAACAGCGCGGTGTTTCGATAGTCTTTGATTTGTCAAGAGGATGTCATTAACATCCTTGATGTCGGAGAAATCAAATGGCTGTCAAAACGAACCCCATACTCCTTGATGAAGGCGATATGTACGAAAGGTTCATGTGATCTTGAAATTAGCATAGAGAACAATGTGGATTAGAAGGAACACATATATAGTTGATATCAAAAGGAGCATATGGACTATTGGGTGTCAATCTATATTCTCTGATGTAGGAAACTACACGAAAGAAATCAGATCTCAGGTCAAAGCTTCGGGTGACGACAGGAGCTAATTCCACCAATTCCACCAATTTCAATAGCAGGTAACTTCGACGAAGATTTAACAGTCCTGTGCTACGACAAGAAAAGAAAAGATTACTGTGAGTTAAACCCCTCCACCCACATACTTTTGGAGGTCGACCGAACCAGTCCCGACCCGTTGGTCCCATCCCAACCCAACCTAGCACCTACCCTGGCTTTGCCCTTCCAATCGTAACCCATCATCGTAACCAGCCAGAAACAACTTCTTTCCGCCCTCATGAGCCACCGATCGCGAATCTCAGATCCTGTGAACTGCCAGGGCAGCTTTTGACGTCCACCAGCAAGGATCGACCAATTGAAATCTGCGTCTCAAAAGCTCACTTGCACGAGCTGCAGCCTGCATCGCACTCAGTCACTCTCTTACCTCCGGACTTCAATAAGCCCCCACGCGCCCCCACAATGGAGGCCAGACATGGTTGGCCGGCCATTGACCGCGTGATCGCGGCGTGCTGCACAACGGCTAGTTGTATCTCCTCCCCCGGTGGTAGCACACGGCTGGGGTAATTTCCCTTACCGCATCGGGCTAACCCTAACCCGCTACTGCTGCCGATCCCCGTACATGAAAAGGTTTCCTGTAACACCACCTTTTCGGCCTTACCTTCTTTCCATCGAGGAAAATGCTTTCTAGAAGAGGCAGAGCAAAGGTGGTGATACCTTTTGCTTGCTTGTGGAGACAGCTCGGGAAAAGGCTAGGCTCCGTGATTTTCCTTTCACATTCGTTCGGTTTGGAAGTGTGGCGAATTAGTCAAAAGACGGGATTAATATTATTCGCCATCTTTTGGTTCTTTTCCCTTCAAAAGCAGAGGCGACCGCAGACTGGCGTCGGTACAAAGGAATGTGTGATTCATGCATAGGTCAAAGGACCGACCTTGTAGACCAGGGCACAAATTTGAGTCTCTCGAGTAAAACACAGGTCAATTAAACAAATGAGTCTTTGCGCTCAAGTTTTGCCCAGCCACAAGATCTATCAACCTAGTGACTAAGCTCAATCGTCCAATGCCGTAATAGTCAACTCGGCATGTCGTCCCGTGTTGTCGAAGTTTAAGTTTGAAGAACATTTCTGAACATTAAGATCCATATAAATGTTAGAGGTCACATCCTAGAACGACTTTTGTGATTCCTACAGGATTCTGAAAAGGACAATGTCAGCCAACAGGAGTCATACACGGATTTTACAGATACAGTTCGTCAATACTTTCTACTTTTGACATAAGACTGAAGAATCTTTCCATCTGATATCTCGTTCGGCATTTTGTTAATATGCGCAGGTCTCAAGCAGGTTTAGAGTGAACTACATAGAAATCTTAAGGTTTAATTTTCAACATATCAAGCAAAGAATAAATAAAAGCGACATCTCTTAATCAAAAAGATGGGAACAAACGTCAAGTCCTTCTACTACACCTAGATTATTTACGTCAGCATCAACCAGCACGAATTTTTTTTGAATGAACTGTACCATCGAATTGTATTATACTGTAACGAATACAGATCATCATAAATATATTATACAACATATTATAGAGATTGATACAATCGAAATAGTCGGTCAAGTAAAAGAGGTTGGATAAAGTTTTAACCTGTAGAATCCACATCTGTCGACAGGAAGGGATAGACTTCACAACAAACTAGCATCAAACATCTTGTACATCGATCATCCCCGTACAAATTAGTTTTCATTTCGAATGTACAAGTCGGATGTTTCTTTGTTGTGAAATCTTCTCTTCCTGTCGACAGATGTGAAATGACAACTAATGTGTAACATTGTTAATAAATTGATTAAGATCAGGTTCTCTTTATGAGTTGGCGTAGAGATACTCGTACTTGGACCCAGCCAAGATCGTCGAAGTCACAAGTATGTGCCTCCAGAATCGAATACGTACTTCATAATGTGAGGAAGTATAGAAAAGTCTAAGCATGTGCCTATTTCACCCTAAGTTTGTATGCTCCTGTCCAAATACTTTGGGAAGGGTCACAACTAGGAGAGCATCTACCACGTGATCTCCGTGTAAGTAGCAATCATTTTCTTGTTATGGTACAAGGTCAACATACCACAATTTCAAACGATCGCATCACTCGATCGCATCACTCGTTCGAAAGCTTTTCCTTTTGGAATGAAGATCGTCATGTACTCGTCATCCGCCACACATGGACAATTATTTCAAACCCCGCGGTGAAACTATTGCGTATGCTTCAAGCCCAAGAATCTCATCTCAAAACAAGAATGGAAGCAAACGAAGGTCCAGCTTTTTAATTTGCTGAGAACCATTGAAGGCATATACTCCTATACCAACACAATCACGAGAAAACATTGGACTGCATTCTCACGCTATTCAAACACACGTCTGTCGGAAGAAATATGGCACTGTTCTTTTATGTGACAAATTCTCTTTCTTCCGCTGTTATGTACTTTTCCATACGCGGTATCCATGTGGCCTCAGTACATTCACGAGAAAAGAACCAATTCTTCCGAGGTCAGTGCACAAAAAGCTTCTAGTTCGGGACAGACAAATGCGTCAATCGCATAAGTATGGATAAGACATGACATTGCAAAGAATCATTACGTTACTACAACGATTCGTTTTTATAACCTGTGACGAAAAGCAGAGGTTGCAGTACCGGCTCCTTGTACTTGGGCTCCGCAATATGGTAGCAATATCCTCATCAAAGTACCTTTCTTTCAATATGATTGTTCGTGCATGCAATGCGGTGGGCTACACCCGCAGGCGAGGCCAGAGATGGGCAAATGGATACTCGAGAACATTCTAGCATGAGTAGATTTCCGTTATAAAAGCCCGCTTCAACTCCCAGAATGATACTTCGACGAACGCTCCAAGTTTGAGACACGCCAAGTCTAAGAATTGCAGGGTCTTGCGCTTGACCCAAGTAATGGCAGCGGGCAGGTCATAAAATTTATCTACCAAGAAGAGGTCAGAGAACTCTTTCGACCAAGACGCATGGATTTACTTCAGAGAGACACTGATTAACTTTAGAACGGGTTTCTGCTCAAGACAGCAAGAGTACCGTGCTGTATTTCTAATCTACTTTCACAAAATCCTCTCGACAATCCAAAAGATTGGCATGCTCAGGGTGCATGAGAGACATAATGGCATTTTAGGATAGGCGACCAGAGGTCTAAGAGCAGACGTAATTCTACAAGTTATACTAACCTCAGCTATAGTCACGCTCCTTGGAGTTTTATTAAAAAACTGCTGCCATCTGTATGGCTCTACTAAGCCATTTGAGTTCTTCTTTTAAAAAGGGATGGGAAGACTCCATCAACCTTAAGCACAGAAATATTAAATTCTCATTTTATTTAACCGGGTTATCAAATTCTACATGTTGATGTCGTCACTCCGTTTTTCAATAGAGCAGTTTTGCATTAATGACGGCTGTAATTTATGTCATACAGTGTGGTTTCATTTACGATCTGAATCTATCTTTGCCGCAACTTGTCTTGGGTTTGCACCCGAACATGCAGCCATGAAAGCTCACTCTTTTGAACTTCAAAGAGGGCAAAAATAGATAAAAGTAAATAAAAATTAACAGTTGGAACTAAGTGAGTGACCGTATTTGGGTGAAGTATACACTAAAATATACACTTGCTCCCCACATAGAATTATGTCTTTCACCAACTATTACCTTGACACCTTACTTTTTTGGTTCTGGATGAATTTTATGATCCAGTACAAGAGGAACAGAATGAACCAAAATATGAATAGCCATCACTTAACAGAGTGATGCCTCCAGCTAAAGTAATCGAGGGTATTCACAACAATGCTAAAATAGTCATGATAATCAAACTAAATCAAATTGGGGGGTTTTCGCGGCTTCTACGGAAATTGAAATAGGGATTTCAAAAAAACCAACGGTGATTATCTATCCCCGTTGATCAAAATCTTGAAAAAATTGTAATTCGTATGTCACATTTTCATGTAGCGAGCGCTTTCAAAATTATTATACATTATTAAAGACGTGTTTCTCATGGAGATGATCCTCCCTATTTTACTGTAATTTGAATACTGGGACTGTTATTTTTCAGCACATTCAAATCGGTTTTTTTTTTAAACCACTATTTAGAGGATCTCAGTTTC